GTTATTGGCACAGGGTTCACTGTTATTGGCAATGGGTCCACTGTTATTGGCACTGGGTTCACTGTTATTGGCAATGGGTCCACTGTTATTGGCACTTAGTTCACCGTTAGTGGCACCGGGTCCACTGTTATTGGCACTGGGTTCACTGTTATTGGCAATGGGTCCACTTATTGGCACTGGGTTCACAGTGATTGGCAATGGGTCCACTGTTATTGGCACTGGGTTCACTGTTATTGGCACTGGGTTCACTGTTAGTGGCACTGGGTTCACTGTTATTGACACTGGGTTCACAGTGATTGGCAATGGGTCCACTGTTATTGGCACTGGGTTCACTGTTAGTGGCACTGGGTCCACTGTTATTGGCACTGGGTCCACTGTTATTGGCACTGGGTTCACTGTTAGTGGCACTGGGTTCACTGTTATTGACACTGGGTTCACAGTGATTGGCAATGGGTCCACTGTTATTGGCACTGGGTTCACTGTTAGTGGCACTGGGTTCAGTTATTGGCACTGGGTTCACTGTTAGTGGCACTGGGTTCACTGTTATTGGCAATGGGTTCACTGTTGCTAGTATTTAATTCACTATTTTACCAGCAATAATATATAAACTCTATATAGCTTCGCCTCTGACATTGTGATTTAGAATTTGACATTTAGATCTGACTTTAATAGCTTTTGATGATGCTTTCACACATTGCGTGTCATATGATTAAGTAAGATCATAAACTTCCAAAAACAGATTATACCGCAATGTTATCACACATACCTTGTTTTCTGGATTCTATTTGCTCCTCTGATAGTATGAGTGGTTCTTGACCCGATCTAAAAAACAATGTTTTCCCAATCCTCTCAAGCAAATGTCGAACTGGTTTGAGAGAAAATTAAAAATGATTCAAATAGTACTGTCAATTGTACTTTTGTAATTAATAGAAATAAGATACAGTGTCACAACGGTGGTAAACTGAGTGTATTGTACTCGGACTATTTTATTTTAACTGTGTGTTCCAATGTGCGTATGTTCAATTATGGGTGTGTTTGGTGTGAGGGCGTTCATTATCAAATACCCACCATTAGAAATGTATGTATGGAAGACCCACCCACCCAATACTGTATGATAGTATAAATATGACACACGATTTATACATGACAGAATGCCACAACCTCACTCTGATGTTTGTTAGGTATGGAAGTTACTAGTATTTCCATGAGTGACGCAGTGTATTCTGTGGCCAGCGAATGAAAAAAAAAATATAGATACACCACATCAACAGTCATTGCCATTGTTTTTCGATCTAGGAATTTGATGATTTAAAAGCTAGAGGATTTGTTATAAATATGACTTGTTGCTCAATTTCTGAAGAAAACTCAAATTACAGTTTTATAGCAGTGGCACATCACTTTCGTTTTGGCATTGTTTTTAGTTTGAGCTACTGACTATGAAGGTTGCTCAATTGCATGATTTACCAGGAAAATACAGAAATTATTATTACATGGACACATGACAAAATTTACAGTTATATTTCATGGCTTTCGATAATCTTATTTGTGAACGAATTTATTCTGGCGGTTTTATTATTTAAATATACATTAAACAATGTAAACAAAGTGTCAAAAGGCATAAGGCAACTGAAGTTGTGCACACAGCTTTAGAAGAGACTACTTAACGTGCATTTGCATATTTTTGCTGTCAATACCAATTCTGTTGAGCAAGACTGCAACTATGAATACTGCAGTAGATGTGTAATGGTTGTTGTAATGCATCATGTAAAATATGGATTCCACGAGAATCTATTATTTGTTTAAACATAATTAGAATTCACATAACAACTATCATTTAAACATTACCTTTTTCAACATTTTGTGATGTTGTGAATTTTGTTGCTGTAATTTCAACTTCAGGTATTGTGTACACTGGATGTAAAAACCTCAGACCAAGAATTCTCTGAAAAGAAATATGAAGGCTTTTGTAAACTTTTTCATATACATGTAATGTCTGAGTCAGGTATACAGCATAACATATATTGAGTAAAGTCTGACACCTACCTCTTTGTATGCTGCCTTTTCAATTATTTTATTCATATCTAAGTACAGAGTATTGGAACCAATCACTGCTGTTGGACTACATAAATGAGAAACACCTAGAGAAAAAATTTAAAATATTGCTTACACACTCAAACAATGTAATATTATAATAAAGGTTAAAATTACGAGACAATGAATTCAACCAACAACTCCATCATCAGTACTACCAATTTGAAAGTGTCTTAAGCATCACAACTACTCTACCATCAAAATATATCTTATTCTTGGGAATACTTTTAGAGCATTCATGTAATCAGTTTCTGTGTTCTGCAAATTTGTTGACACCTCTATAAACTCATTAGGTGTTAGGAAATGATCTACTTTATTGAGAAAAATGCATATGTGTGTGTTAACATTGAGAAACAATATCTACTTACTTTCAAATAAATCTTGTTTAATTTGTAAATCATCAATAACAGCTTCAAATATAAACTCAGCATCTATAACAGTTTCTTCTAATCGACTCATACAGAGAACTTGACCCTGTAAACAGAATAGACAGCCACGGTCAAATCAACTGTAATAATTACAAGGGGTCTGTCTGAATAAGGTCAAACCTAAACCTACAAACAACGTTTCATACAAATATAATTAAAGGAGAATTTAAGCCATAAATTTTTGAAAAGAAATACAATATTTAGAAAAATGCAATATTCAGAAGTGTTTCTCTTTTACACAATACTGTTTTACAAGATTGTGCAAACTTTAGGTCTTTAGACTCACTTTGAACAGCATAATTTTTTTGCTAAAATTTCGACGATACATGTACATTTATGTATTCTTTTTTAATTTTGGACTAAGTGAACATATTTCCTATTGGCTACAGGTCTTGACCAATAGTTTATTTTGTGAAAGGGAACAACAGTTGAATTTGCTGTACAAAGAGTTTACCATTAATAAATGACTCTCAGCCACGTTCCCACAGATATTAAATGTGTGAGACAATCTTGGGTAAAATGGTACACCAGTAGGACCGGACTAGTAATTCAAGACATTCATTTCAAGCACGGTTGCTATGGGCATGGTCTTGGTTACTATGATATCACCCAAAAGAGGTTCTGAATAACAGTTTTTCTCCTTTATGACAAGTTGACTATAGCCTAGGCAATCAAGGTACATATAGTTTTATATACTTACAAGAAAGTTTGGATGAGTCATGAGACCCTCATTCTTTAATTCTTCCTTGTCATCAGCTAAATTATGATAAAATACATCCAGGGCAGCTGGGTTATGGTCATATATCTTCACTCTATGACCATGATATGCCATATCACCTGTAAAACGAAACAGTACACATTTATTTAGTGGGATGCCTTGCTAAACAAATGGTCTTTTCTGAATTTGAATGAGACAGGTATAACAGGTATAGGAATGATGGTTCCTTCAGCACAAGAATTTCTCGCCCAAATTTTCTGTACTTTTTGTAATATTCTTCAATATTTCTGAAAATGAACCCTAATTTTGGAGCCAACAGACAAAATTTTTATACATTTTTCAGTTTTTACCCTAAAAAAGTTTTCTATTTTTGTCCCAATCTTCTGAAGGAAAGTGCAGACTATAAACGGAACTATTTTATATTTGTGATGATAAGAGGGAACTGGTGGTGAAAGGGTTAAAATGGTCGCCATTTGGTCATCTTGAATTGTCCAACACAGATGAAACATATTGATGAAAAAATTAAAATTATGTTTATTACAAAAATGAAATTCATAATGATACTCGCAAAGTAAAGGAAGTAAAAAACAAACAGAGAACATATCGAAGGTTTAAATCTGCTTTTGGATTAGAAATCTACTTAACACAACTCAAAAATGCATATTTACGTGCAACAATGACAAAAATGCATAAAAAACTTCCGAATTATTACAATAAAAAAACAATTCATCGAAATAACGTACAGTAGCAAATTAATAATTCAATTGGCACCAAAAAAATATACCCCCGGTAAAAAACTGCATGGACTCAAGTTAGCAACACCTGCCGATTTAATTGCTATATTTTTATGCGCTTCCTTACTTAATCATTGTAGTTTATAGTTTTTTTCTTTGTTGTTTTCCTTCATTGTTATTATCATTAGTAGTTTATTTAGTTTTTATTTGTTATTATTAGTAGTTTATTCAGTTTTTAGTTATTTCACCTTTGTAACCATTTCCACTTCTTCCAAGAAGTGTGTAAGTTGCTAATAAACGATTTGGGAGGGGTGTATATAAAGCTCAAACATGAATGCTCAGGAAATGTCGTAGATATGAGCCCCGAACAGCATTCATTGAACCATTTTGAATCCTAAAAATGAATCAATGCCAAGTGTATTACTAAATTTAAACAAAATCTGTCCATTAAGACTGAGCCTCTCGAACAAAAATAGCTGCTGTTTGCCATTTTCAATTGGATCGTGAAACAAATGTACATATTCTGTCTTATTTTCCATACATGCAGTATACTGGGATTATAAGATAAGATAAGATAATTCTTTATTACAACCATATTGAAAGAAATTCAATTTAGGTGAATACATAAATTATAACCCTGAAAATCAACCCTTATTAAACTCCTATTTCAACTTGAAGTGATCATTGGCGAAGATTGGGTTGTCAAACTATGTATTTCAAAATATCACACTTTCCAATTTACATTATAAAAACATCAGGTCACTGATTGTTTTAGCAACATTTTATTTTCATTATACATGAACCTTACTGTTGCTATGGAGATACTTCCACAATAATATTTGTAAAAAAAACAAAACATGCGCTTGATACGTCAACATGGGTGCATATTGGCTATCAAATCGGATATTTTCATTATCGTTTTCAAGTTATTATTGTATATCAATTAAAATATTAAATTATTAATGACAAAAACGTTACAAGTATATCGCTCAATAGCCTGTGTATCGGGAGACTAGACCCGTCTCGCAACTCGTCTTGCTCTTGGTTCACCGTGACCAATTAAGGCCAGCAACGACACAGCAGGAAAGGAGGAAGGCTATAAAAGGGGGAAAGAATGTGTGTACAGTATTACCTGCTATTTTCGTACCCATAAGACCACAGCCAATCACGGCGATGCGAACCATGGTGTGAATTTGACGTTGAATCACAAAACGAATATGTCATTCTTCCATCTCCTCTTTTTTTCCTCGGTGCAATACCGGAAGTAGATTATCCTTAATGTATGTGTGTCAGTAAACGCCGGGATGAAGCATGCCGTCAGTCACGTACCGCCAGTCAACGTTGCGGCCAGTTGAACTGCATTGCCGCCAGTAAAACGTCATGAATTAAACTGTCCTTCAACATGTATATACCGACGATGTCGATTAGGCAACCATAACATATAATAGTATGGGACATTCACGTAGCATTGATATAAAATTGCCAAAATTTGCGCTCAAAGCAATATTATCTATGATTTTTTTCTAAAAACGTTTTATTTTCAAAAACATACCGCTATAATTTTAGGCCCTGAAAATAACATTGTTTTATGTGGTACATAAATTCGATAAGCATTGAAATAACACCAACACAATTTTTCATCGTCAACATTAAGAGTGCATCCTGAAATATACTTGGTAGTTATATATCATTAATTTTGACTACTACTGTCCGTGTTTTATATGGTACTTTAATCCAACATTCAAATCCAAAATGTCACGGTCGCTGAGTTGTCTGCATATCAGCACCATCGCCCCCTACCGAAGATATTTATAAATTACATTCTAGGGTAGTCAATATTAGGAAAGGCTCAGCTATTCCTAGATGTATGTCAGTTTTTTCAAATCTGATAATGATATATTTTCTGCACTTAACCTAAATTATTTCGTCATTTTGATAGTACCTTTTAATTTTATACATATTTATGTTTTTTTTTCTTTGTAATGTTGGTCATACGCAGTTTCCTCCCAGTTTCAGACCTATTAGTGGCTATGTCCGTTGATCTATACAATAGTATTGTATTAACTCATAACAACCTACTGAAGGAGGTTAAAGGTTACAAAAGAAAATTACAGATAACAATTAATCAAATTACAATGACTAATAGTTTAAAAGACAACCAAAAACAGACTAGATTGTTAGTAACGGAAATATATAATAACATAAAATGAAACAACAACAAAAAACTATAAACTGAATATAAAAACAAAAACCCAATGAACACATAATTTAAAAAAGGTATTTAAAAAAAGGTCAATGACTAAGTAGGTGCTACTGTCTAATAGCAAAGCTGTATTTTAGATATTGTGCCAGAGGAATTGTTAAGTTATTATTTGACATTATTTTCATGAATTTATTTTCAGGTGTAAGATTTGTAAAGTCAGGAATAATTTTTCAGCTTCATTGTATAAAATGACCCTTTCTTTACTATATACATTGAATACAAAATGTTTTTCAACAAATATTTAAAAAAAAGTAGGATTTCACAATAAAGGGTGGTGGTCGTCACCCCGTGTCCTGTACGGGACGTATCATACTCATGGGATGGTGAGCAGACCTCCCCCCCCCCCCCATGCAACATTTCCTGCCGCCGCCTCCGTCTGTGGTCTGACCCGGTGCTTCACATATTTTGACCAACCTTCCGGGAGCCTAATTGGCAGACGGGTAAATGAGCGCAAGATGATTGGCATAAACCGAGTTTTTAATAATATTCCTGCTAACCTTAGCTGATTGAACTTGAAATCGCCTACTAAGATCATTCTCTTGAACTACAAACAGCCTTCATTGGGAGAATGGTACGGACACCATTTGAAACATGAAATGATTGCCTTCCCATATATTACGTAAAATAACTGTTCCCGTATCAAAAAATAATAATGCGAACTACAAATGAAGGAAGTTTCTTGAACAAATCTCAGTGTTTAACCCTGTCGAATACCTTAGTAGCGTCTATAAAACACTGGGGAATCATGCCGTTTATACAATGATCATACCAATATTCACATATTGTGCAGAAATTTTGACATAATGTGACATAATAAAAAATAAAAACTTATTGATGCACTTATTGTCACCAATGGAAAACATGCACTTAACATTTTGCAAGTTCATAATGAAGGTAAACTGCAGGACCACAAACCTTGCCTGCTTATTATAATTGGGGCGATACCCCCTAATAACTACATGTATCAGACAGATGTTTAAATATTGGTTGAGATTGCGTAATATGCCTGAAAACAGCCTCATAAATGAAGCATACAGATTGGCAATCAATATGGATAACTCAGACAGCCAAAATTGGGTCAGTTGTATTAAAACAATTCTCAAAGACCTTATAATGGAACATGAGTGGGAAAATGGAAAGATTAGTAAGAACAAATACCTATATAATAAATAATATTACTACAGCACTTGAAAAGAACTTAAAAATAAACAGTAGGGATTCTCTAAACAATGACAATAAAGGCATTTAACCACAGAAATAAACTACGTACTTATGGAAAATTAAAAACTGAATTTGGACTTGAAAATTATCTGTTGACAGTAAATAACCCACTACTAACACAGATCATCAATGACCAAACTAAAATTAAGCGCACATGTTTTACAAATTGAAATGGGCAGATACCATAAAATTAACATTATCGAAAGAAGCTGTCCTGTATGCAATACAAATGATATTGAAGATGAAGAGCACTTTCTGTTAAATGTCAGTTGTACAAACGTGAAAGACAGATCCTTCTCAACACAATTAGACAGTGTTCTGAGGGCAACACTGATACAAGCTTTATCAACATACTATGCACAAAGAATATTGTCATGCAAAAATGTCTAGCAAAATATATATACGAATGTTTCAACCTAAGAGAAAGCAAATTACAAAAAAACAGCTGCCTCGCAGATATCTAAATAAGTAATCCTAACATTTACTTCATTAATTTGCATTTCTAACGCACTTTCGGGCAAGTTTGTTTTTTTAGTTTTGGTTAGTTTAGTTTTTTTTATACTAGTGTATCTTCTTCTTTTTATTCTGAATGTTTCTGACATGGAATGACAACCATGCTTTATTGTACTTAGATCTATGTCCATTTTTAGGATATGACTTCAATAAAGACTATAATTTATATATTATTATACAAATCCTATAAATTTTATTACGAAAATGGACATATCCGTCAGTAGAATGGTTATACTTTTAAATCTAAACTGAACATTAGTTGTTTCAATATATCTCTCGACAAAAGACACAACTCAAATATCTTAGAAATAACTGAGGCAATTGCCACAACTAAAGTCGGAGTTGAGATAATCAAATGTTTATACAATTTTCGACCATTTCGACGACGGATGACAAATTCATATTTTTAATGAGTCAAGACGTGGCTGTTTTTTTCTATAAATATAAATGATTTTTAAATCCTTGGTAATTTCACGGACGTACGACCATGCCATGTTGATACGAGAATCATGATTGAACTAGTTCCGTCATGTATTTTTTTGTTATACCCATATATTAATTTTAGGCAATAGTGTGTATATATAAGAACTTGTGGCAACCGTATTTGTTGAAATATTTTCTGAATATAGACTGAAGTCATTTTGACGCAATATCGGATGTTCTTAACGCTTGTTAGTAAACAGTAAATCTGAATGTTTGTCGGAAATATGTATATATTTAAATATTTGAGGACAATTTTAAAGATTGTTAACGGCGGCAACATACAGATTGATTGGCGGCAATATTGACAGGTCGTACGCGACTGACGACACACTTCAGTCATCCCGGTTCCAGCGTGATAATGTTGGTTCCAACTTCAGATTCAACCCTGATTGGTTACACATAATAAACAAAAAACATCATACTTCGTTTGATCACATAAACTAAAGCATGCATGCGATACACCGCTAGAACGTTATATATACAGTTTGTGTTATTTTAGTTATTTATGAGAGTGATTGCTTGTTTGTTCGTTCGTTATTCGGGATCTCTTCCGTGTGACTTGAATCTGAAACTACTCACATATACGCGCATCGGGGAACGAATTGACAGCAACAGCAACAGTCTGATGATTAAGTGGTGAAGGATGGCCTCTGGAAGGAAAACCTGTCAAAGCTTGTCTCCGAGACGTATGGTGATGAGTGCTGCAAGACAGCGCTGGAGGCTGCTTGGTCAGGTAAAGCAGATATACAAAATGAACTGCGTTTCATTTGCCTGCATGAAACGTCTATTGTTTGATCGACGGGTCTGTAGACATTTTTTAAATTTGTCGTTTGACATCTTAAACATTCAAAATTTCACAAAATAATACATTTCACGAAGTAACCATCCTCAAAGATCAAGATTACACCAATTTTTTTCACAAAACTGCAGCCGCTTTGGACTACTAAGTACCTTCCCTATGCGGGAAAATGCAAAATTCCCGTTTCCATAGTTACCCCCTTTTTTCTATAGAACTGAAACTTCAATCTGTATCAAGACAAGAAAAGTTAGGTTCGAAGAAAACCACTGTTTTACTTCTATGTCCTTCCTCAAAAAGCGTACTTGATCACTGTTTTAAATATTTGTTTCTCTGCTCTGTGTTTTCTTCAACAATAATTATGCTTTTGAGGTATTTTGTAATAAGTGTTGAATAAATCATTATTATAATACATATCACCATACATGTAACATAATGTCACCATAAGTTACAGCGTGCCGTAATTTTGTGGTATTTTACAGGGTATTTTCATCCTACCATGTTAGGAAATATGAATTCCAAATATGGAATGATTACACGCATAAGTGTCCTCTAATAATAAAAACAAACATTGCTGCCACCAGGGTTTGACCAGACTCCCCACAAAGAAGTTCTTTGATTCTGTTCTAAACTTTTTTGATTTCGACATTCCCATGATGTTTTCTTGGAAGGAAAAGATGTATAATATAATAAGGTTATTATGAGAATATCTCAAAGTGTGCACTCACAGTACGCCGTCGCATCAACCTTCGCTGCGCAGTGGTCGATATTCCCACTGTACTGTCTTCGAGCATACTTTGAGGTATCCTCGTAATATCCTTGTATTATCATCATACTTCAAAGAATCCAAAGAATACACTTTCCTATTTTCCAATAATCATCTAAGATGTCATACTTTCTAATTGTTTCTTACATTGAGTTTACCCATTGAGAGTGAATAATGCAATTTCAAGATATTACTAGGCTGTTTCCATTTTTCCTACATGTTTTATACGAAGATCTGACTGTCATTTTTGTTAATGAAAACTGAGATTGGCTGTGCCTTCCTAATTTCTGCTGAGTTTGTTTCTGACTGGTTAATTTATAAACGTGTTTTACACAATTTCAAATTAAATTTTTTACTGCATACAATGAGCCTCATTTAGTTTAATGCATTATCTTGTAAAATACTTAATAAACATTTTTACCTGCCAGGTACTTGCTAGAAAACGAGAGAGTCGACCATTTCGATCTGAAAAACACTGTGCTTCAACAAGAAAATTTATTTCATTTGGGCTACTATCAACCACACACCTTGATACAGATGATGAGTTTAATTCGTGGTACAGATATACATGTCAAGATGTAACAGAATTCAGTGTTGATATCAGGTACAGTCTCATTTATTAAATATCACATACATAACACTCTTTGGGCAAAAATTATTTTTATGTATATAGCATTTGCTTTTTCTTCTTCGTTCTTTTATTTTTTTTTGTATACTTGTTCAACTGTTTCATGGAATGTGCTCATATTTTAAGGTATTGGAATGGATATTATTTGCAAAATTGGCATAAAAACATGTGATCATACAACTACTTAGAAAATGTCTACGTTTGGGACATAAAGTGAAGAAATAGTATGTTGTTATAAGATGGGTAATTCTTATTGTCATGAATTATTAGGAGATTCTGGGCATACTATTTATTTTTCATGAAATAATATCTTTTATTTCCTATGGTTAGAGAAATTTTTTAACCCAGTTTTTCCCTCGAACCATGATTTGTACCAGGTAAAAACATTCAAAAGACTATGGCATGTATCCAAATCTATAATTAAATAACACAATATTGTGATATAATTTTCACCCTATTTAATATGTCAAAATATCCTTGAATAAACTTAACATGCTACCGGTATTCTGGTTCATAGTGAATAGAAACTATGCAGCAATTGCTCTTATTTTGTTTTGCTTTAGAGGTTTGAAATTGTTGGTTTAACATCTAAATACTATCCCAGTGAAGTCTGACTCACACGGTTACATGTAGCTATTTATACTAGTTTTGATGCCCATATAGGCATCAACCAGTGTCAGATTGTTTATTGTAAATTAAGGTTGGTACAAGCATTGTGGTATAGGGCAGTGATAGTTAAAACTAGAATCTGAACCATTTGGTTACCATGGAAATTGATCAGTAGTACAACATTCTTTGGAATGAATGGATTAAGCATGTTTTATTGTGGATTGGATATAATTCAATGTAACATACACATAGTAGTGATGTCCCAAGACAGCTGTGAATGTATGGTATTTACTGCTTGTACTAGAGACATGTATGCTGACACTATTGGTGACAGCACAGTATATTAACTTGTCAAAGTTTATATTGACACAGTAGGTCAATTTGTTTCATATCTCAAAAGGGATATGTCAATATGTGTTAATATCAAAGATGGAAAAGCTGACTGTATCAACATGTATATTTAACATCATCTTGAAATATACCAGTCTGATAAGTTATATCTTATTTCCAAATTGAGTTTCTGATGGATGAATGTATGAAACAGATTTTTAATTAATAGTTTTTATTTTTGATCATTTGTTTCGTGATCTGATTCAATATGGCCAATGACAGCCATTGTCCTGCCAAAATTGCAAAAAAATCACACATTTTCACTATTCCAGACTGAATCTGTATGAACAGATTCTGTTCAAACTTGGTACCGGATTCTGCTGTAAATTCGCCCTGTTCGTTTGGCCGATTTTTTGGCAGTTTTTAAAGTTTTTTTTTTTAATATCTTGGCGTCATTTTTTTTGGACATATCTTCACTGACGCCTAAAATAGAGTCTATTTAAGTTTTTATTCAAGAGTATGCTTATTGTGACTAGTGTGAATGAGTGAGCTTCATTTCGACAATGAGCTGTTATCACTGTGAACAATGTTAAATTATTCTTCTAATGCTCAGTTCATCTTTTGAAAACAATTATTGATTGCTTTGATACTACATATATATGTACTACATGTGGACCTCTCTCAGATTTGTTCATTTTGTAATGATATCTTTAATTCTCTAATTTTGGTGAATATTTTTGTCATTTTTGGTAAAAAGTGATATTTTTGAATTCTTGTTGAAAACAGCAAGTCCCATTGCTTTGATACTATACATATTGTTCATTTTCTAATGATATCTTCTGTTCTTTAATTGAAATGTGCATATTTAACAGCAGAGCTATCTCAGCTGACAGGCTGCTTGTTGAGATTAATACTTTCTTTTTTCTTCATTACACATAAATTTATTTTTTATTTTGTTGACCTTTGACCATTTGACAGCCATTTTTATCCAATAAAACTCAAATCCCATAATTTCAACATGTCATCAACTATTTTATAGGCATGCTATGGCTGATTTTATTTGGATTCACTGTAGCAAAGAATGCTGTCATCAAATACCTTTAAAAATACCGTGGGTAAAGCGAGGAAAATGTCCTGTTGAGAGTTGCTTTTTACTTTCATTATTGAGTGAAATGTGTTTTTTCATTTAAATACTCATGCCTGTCCGATCAGTGTGCAGTGTGTACTAATCAATGTTTTCTTCTCTAAATACATTGCATTATTGACTTTTTCAATGATATAATGAAATGACCAACTGTCGGATTATCAACTAGTGATCGACAACAGCAAGCATGTAAC